CTGCTTGATGCCAGACAATCCAGTTCTCCCATATGAGTCTGGGTCCCCAGAGTCTCGCCCGGAACTGGAGTTCAGAGCAATCGGGAGCTTGTATCTCCCTCCGGATTGAAAAAGAGAACAGCGCGCCCAGCTGCCAGCCCATTTCGTGCGTGCCTCCGTACCTCCACACTTCCACACCTCTGCACCTCCTACCAGTCTCAAATGTGCTTTTCTCTTTCCTTCTTGTTGTAGAACTTCCATTCAGCCAGCCTTCCCGTGGTTCTGGATGATATCCGTTTTGTCTTTTAGTTGTATTTTTGATGTGGTTGTGTGAGGCAGCAAGTATAGGTGTGTACCTATGCCGCCATCTTGGTTCCTCCTAAATATAACTTTTGATAATGTAAAAATAATATAACTAAGAAATATTAGGTGATGGTTATAGAGTACAAAAAGAATATGTAATAAAAAATAAGACTGCTAATTTCTTTATCTTTCCTGGCAGTAGGTCAATCAACATTTGAATAGTCAGGTATTCTTTGACTATTGTGGAATTAAGATATAAATCACAAAAATAATGCCTCATACCTTGAAAATCAAATAATACACCGTTACATACCCTTGAGTCAAAGAAGAAATCACAAATTGAAAAATCTTTTGAGCTGAATGATAATAAAGATTCAACATACTCAAACTTGTGAAATATTATTCAAGTGGCATTTAGAGAGAAATCTGTGCTTTTAAGTGCATATATTAGAGATCAACCGAAGGACTTGTATGCATGCATATAAGCATAACCAATGGACACAAGACACTGGGGGGGTGGGTGAGGGCATGTGCCAGGGGGTAGGGGAGGCCGGGGGAAGGTCAATGGGGGAAAAAAATAAAGGAGACATATGTACTACTATCTGTAATACTTTAAACAATAAAATAAAATTAAAAAATTATTTTTAAAAAAGATGAAGGAAGTTGATAACCCCCTATCAAGATGGAAAAAAAGAGAACAAACACAAACTAACAATATTCAAAATAAAAAAGGAGGTCATTACTACATCGTGTTCATATTAAAAAGATATTGACATAATATTATAAACCATTTATGTCTCCCATTTAACATACTGCATTGTAATACTGGATTAACTTGACTGTCACTGAACTCAGGCTGAGACAAGGAGCTCAGACCAAGACAAGAGGTACTATCTGTACCTTCTCTGTTTAGTTCACATGAAGTGCTCAATAAATGCAGATTAATAACAGAGGAGAGGGAGCACCTATTACCCAGGATTGTAAACAAAGACTGCTTTCAATAGTTTTTATTACTCAACCAATAATTGATGGTTGGGTTACTCAAGACTTTTTTTAGCTGTAAGTCTAAACAATAGCAATTTCAAAACCAAGATATTAAGGAAACACACACACCTATTTTTTTTATTTAAGAAAAAGATAAAGTAACAAAATAAACAATATTATCCCAAAGCAATAGAGAGCTTTGAGCTAAATCCAATGTATCTTTCCTTTATTGTACACGGACCAATACTATATCTTCTTATGTAATTTTAAATTCCACCCAGGTTATTTCCTCATCTGTCAATTTTAAAAGAAAAATACAGGATTCTTTGGGGTTGCATATATTTCCCATAATGGACTTACAGTGTAAATTTTGGTTAACATTTTATAAACATCCATCAAGCTGTACATGTTGGAGGGGACAGCTACAATGCATTCCAAAGAACCATAGAGGAACCATTTATAGTGCTGCAGAGTAGAAGTCAGGGGGGGGGGGGCATTTTCTATTAGATTTCCATATAGTTTAAGAGAGCAACAGTGAGATTTGTATATGTGGTGGTGTTTTTGTTTTGTTGTAATATTTATGTGTTTTTGCAAAATCTTTTTAGGCAAGCTGGCAGGTGAACTGTGTCTTAATAACTTTATTGTTATGTAAAAGGAAATTTTAAGAAAATATCTTTTTTTATTGATTTTAGAGAGAGAAAAGAAGGGAGAGGGAGAAACATCCATCAGTTGTCTCCCAGGGATCAAACCTGAAACCTGGGTATGTGGCCTGACCAGGAATCGAACTGGCAACCTTTCGGTGCATGTGAGGACGCTCGGAACGCCAGGCTGGGGCTGCTGGGTCCTGCAGGAGCTGACATGACAGTTCGCTCCTCCGGGGTCTGGGTCCCACGAGCCTCAGGTGCCCTGCAGGTGATGCCACCCTGGATTCCCCCCTGCCGATGGCATTAGCGCGCTCGGCCTGCGGTTGCCTGCGGCGGCGCTGCTTTTCTGGCCTCACTGTCGCAACTTCAGCCCCCACACCGCCCAGCCTGCTAAGAGGACAGGAATCTAACCCGC